TTCAGCAGGCAGCACATCCTTCCAAGCACTTAGTACCCTGAACAGGAACTGAAGTCAAGGGGAAGACAAAGCAGTTAGAGCCTCACAGATCTGATCTCAAAAGTAGAGTCTGAAAATCTCCCTTACTCTTGATACCTAACCTGCATTTGTTTGTAACTTTCTTGCTCTCGCTTGAGTGTGGAGTCTGCATCACGCAGCCTCTCTTGAAGAGTTTGAAGGGCTTGATTTTGCAAACTGCTCCCTTCACTGTGGTCTTGTATTATCCTGGAAAAACAATACACATATTAATTGGGGGTGGGGAAATAAAAAAATCTATTTTAAATTTCACATAGAAATACCACTACCTGATTCTCAGACCAGCTTTGAAAATTAACACAATAAATTATTGAATATGGCTGACTATAGGCATGAAGCCTGGAGTTAATGACTTGCGTCTGCTCCCTGACCTATGTTCTGGAGTATCCAATTGCCAATTCATATCCCAGCACTGAGGTAAGTCAGAGAAGTATTCGTATTTGTGGATAAGCAAATGTATTTTTCAAAGAAAAACATTTTTCTAGACATCTTAAACTTCAGGCCTCTGACACAAACATAAATACTTATACAAAACGGCCTTCAATAATCAGTTGACAATTGTGCCTAACACTCATTTGCTCTGTTCCCACTGCCAGCTATGATACAGCAGGTTCAGAGTAAACTTTAATCCTCATATTTCAAATCTTGATTTAATCCCTTTCCCCACTAGTTTATTGATTTTTGTTCTTAAAGAGACTAAATTATCTACCTTGACTTATCAAACTTATTACTATTTGCAGAATTATGAAGTACAAAATTATGAAGTACCGTGATTTTTCACTCTGCAATGCTTCCAAAGCTTCTGTTCGAGCACTTAACAACTGGTCAGCTTCTTGCAACCGTACTTTCAGCACAGCTAGCTGTGAATCCTTAGCACCAACAGCTTCTGTCAGATCATCAACTCGAGCTTGAAGTTCTCTAACCATCCTGTCACTCTTTGAATGGTCAACATTCCACTTCTCAACCCTTTCCCGGGATTTGTTCAGTTCTACAAAATAAGAAGTTTCTCTGAAGTTTATAAAAGTAGGTATTGTAAGGTCAGGATGCACACATGACACTTCTTAAAGAAAGAAATTAAATACAACCTAACTGAAGTAATACTGAAACTTTATGAGCTACCAAGAAGTAACAAATGCCAGACTGTCAGAGCACAGCCCCTAGAATTTTGCAGGTGATCTCAAACCAGGCCTTTCATTCTGTGTCACACTGCAGATGACAAATTTTACCTGTCCCACCCCTCACAATGGCCTATTATCAAATACCACTATGCAAGCAAGCTTTTGGAAACTTCTGCATAAAGCATCTCATTCAACTCAATGGGACAATAAACTCAACCTAAAACCAGTAGAAAAAACACACCAGTGTTGAAATAATGCTTAAATACTTAGAGAGGGTTCTGGTTTAAACCAAACATCATATACTAAACTTCAGTAGAAATTAAAATTCTCTGGCTCATACACTTAATTTGAAAAAACACGTGGTCTCTCAGCTGTATGCCTAACAGCAGGAGCTGCTCACAGTTCTACCATTAAGTGTTTCATTTATATGCACATCTTTCATATTTGTCATTTCATCTGGCTTTGGAAAAGCTAGAGAAGCCATACAGAATTACTAAATCTTATTTCTTTATTATCTAGTTTAATACATTTTTTTTTTTTTACTATCTAGGTAGTTTCTAGGCACCAGAGATAACGGCCTACAGCCAGAAAGTAGTCAGATTCTTAAATATTTAAAGTAATTTACTCACTTAAAACTGTTAGTATTTTGCAATAGCTGTTAAAATGCAGGAAAAATACTTTAATACTGATAACGTTTGCTAATACTGTTTTAAGTTTTGGAACTAAATTGATCACATCATTTTAACTGACATTTGTGTTATCTTTGTAGTTAAACAAGCTTTTTAGTTTCTCCCAGCTCATTACTCTAAACCCAAGTATCATTTTGCTTTATCACACATGCAAATTTAACTGAAAAGATTTTATTATAAATACAAAATGCTAACAGAGAAATAGCACTGTTTTTTAGTTCACTAGCATTTTAGTAACAAGTTACAGTTGAGTTTCTGAACCACAGTACCTTCTTGTGTTTCTTTAGACCTCTGAATTAACGAAGCCATTTCTTGATTTAAAGACTGAACTTCATTCCGCAGCAGCTGATTCTCCAGGCGAAGATTGGATAGCTCATGCGATTTCAAATCATCATTAGCTGAAAGGCTAGGATTAGTTACCGCACTTAGTGATGAATCCTTCACGCCATCCCCTTGTGCTCCCAGTCCAGAATCTGAACTGTCTGGGGTTTCTGAACAGAGAAACGTAAATTAGAACCAATATATGTATTCGTAAGTTGTCTTGATACGAATAGCAATTCCATGTTCTGCTTCAGTAGTTAAATGCATAATAATAGCTTATATCAAAATAGAATATGGAGCTGCTTCTCCCAGGGGACATGCAAAAAATAGCACTACTATAGAGTATACATGTATCATGCAGCATTTTTGTTAATCCTGTAAAACATGGAAGTTATAAAAATTTCTTTGTTGCTATTACCATAATGTCAAATTCAGGATTTCAAAACATTAACACTTTTTTATGACTATGCTGCCCAGAGCTGTCTTCAGAAGCTGACAGAGTAACAGAAAAGATTAATATACAGCAAATAACTAGAGGAATATTTAGTACAAGTTCATTCTGGTTTTCCCTTAAGATTTTGAGGATTTACATTTTATTTTAAAAAATCTGTTCAGATGACTATACGTAGCCATTTTGATAGCAAAACTAAATGTGTTATCTTTATGTAAAAATGCATTTCAAGAATAATTTCAGTCAAATCATCATCTTACTAATAATTCTGTATTAATATATCTCTCAAAACATTCTTTCAAAAAACACTTTTACTAAGAGAAATAAAGTTGCAGTGATTTGAAGCAGAAGCATGAACTCTCCTTTCTCTAATGAAAAATATAAAGTAGATGTAGTCTGTCAGACTCTTAAAAGCTTTCTGCCAACATAAACTGCAATTTGGAAACCAAAATACAGTTTTTTCTTCCCTCCCCCCCTTTTAAAAAAAAAAAAAAATCTTAGAACCTCAGTAAGAAGAGTAAGGGGAGTCCTGGTACTATTCTGAGCAAGTCTCTTGCAAGGAAGGACAAACCAACAGCCTTTCCCTATTGTGCACAAGCACCACACAGCATCATGGATTAATGCTGTGAAATGAATACATCCACTGTAACAGTCTTGATTCCAGCATGCAGATAGTTGGAAGCTTTGGAGCAGTGTTAAGATAAAAAACGTAACGCAATAAGCAGGCAATCAAAAAATATATACTTGTGAACTTAGTATGTCCTAGTTGAGCAACTGCTGAAAATCCAGGGGGGACAGACTGCAACTAATTCCAAGTAAGACTGCAGTTCGGCTGTCACAAAGTTATTTACTTCACCTTATGATCACTAACCAACCTGCTCCACTTTCCTTGTTATCACTGCAACAGCCCCTATCACCCGGAGCCCAGGGAGCTGGGACAGACTATTAATTCTCAGCAACACATGGACAAGTAGCACCGGTGACAGTATTTCTTCCACATTTTCTCAAACCCCTTTCCTATTTAAAGAATTCTAAGAAGTGTCATTTCCTCCCTCTTGATTCATTTGCACAATTTCCAAATTATCAGACAATTTATTCTCATTCCTTTGTCTGAAAAAGTCAGCAGACTAATGGAGCTAATGAACCAAGAAATTAGCCATTTAGAGTAGATTATACCAATGGCAACATATAAACTGCAACGTTCATTGGTTTTGTCTATAGCTAATGTATCATAAGCTACTTCAACAGATGCTATACAAAACATTTAAATGACACGGATATATGTGTACAACTTTGAGACCAGCGCACTCAAGCCCTGTGTTGTAATCGTGTGCTTCCTCATTTGGCAGCTCCACAAGATAAACTCCACTCAAAAATCCTCAGAAGAAAATTCAACAAGCAACACTGAGCAAAACAAATACGTTTTGCTCAGTAATACGTATGGTCAATCAGCAAGGCCATAGAGCCAGGCCTAACATATCTGAATTATTACTAGTAGTAGCAAACCTTACTGAAAAGTTACAGACCCAGAAATAGAAAAATTTTCACATCTTTGGAAATTACCCCTTTTTATGCCTAAAACTTTTAAACATACTTAATGTATTAAGTAAAAAAACCGGCATTTACGATGCTTTACACACCCAAATTACTGGATAAAGTATTCTAACTATATTATTAAGAGGCAGTGTAACCATTTGCTTCAGTTGTACAAAATAAGTAACAGGAAAGTAGCACAGCAACAGCAAGGACCAAGTATAGATTGGACAGTCTGATGAAAAAACACAATTCTCCTTTGCACTGACTTGAGAACAGTCCCAACATTTGACCACTTGACCTGGTGGCTCTTTCAGGTGTCTGGGTTTAGACTGCAGTAGTGAACTACTTCTGGCAAACCCAAAGGCTTTACCTACCTAGTGCTCCCATACCTGTAGCTCTAAAAACAGTCTAACCACATACAATTTCCCACTCTGCAGGACAAGCAAGTTTGACATCTTATCCCTCTTCCATGGTGGAAGAGAGAAAACCTCACATCACCTCACACAGTGTACTAGGCAACAGCCACCACCACCTACCAGCTAGTGAAAGTCACTCACTCTCCTGCATGGCAACAACAGGTAAGGGACCTTGAGCAATCAAACAAATGCAGCAGTGCCTGTGCTTCTAAGTGGGGATGTATGGGGGCTGATGCAAGGTTAGGTCATAGCTCAGGGAGGTCAAGGTAAGCAGGAGCAAGGAGACAGATCAAGAACACAAAAGATTTGGGTATTAATTACACTTGTCAAATCAGCACAGTATGCAAGATCATCCCAGTGATGAAAAAATGTTAAAGACCCTACTGTGGTCCACACATTTAATATACTACTACCAATAAATGTTTCATGAAGTGACAGTAAATCCATTACCTAGCCTTACCCTAGACATACTTGGGTTCTAAATATTTCTAGGTTCAGTATTATTTAACTACCATTGCCATGGCTCCCGACGGAATTATCTTCAGTAGTTTTTGCACTCTGTGTACTGGTAGACACAGAACTAACGATTGAAGTCCGAGAGTGATTTTGAAGAACAGGTGCCTTGCTCTTCTCTTTTTTAGAATCCATCCTTCCATTCGGCTCTTTCTCTGAACTGTTAAGAAAATCAAATAGCAACTCATCATCAGGTTCTGACTTTTTTCTTCTCACAAAATGTGAGGCAGCTCTGGGTGTAGAAACACCTTCTACTGGAGAAGCAACTTCTGAAGACGTCCTCCGTGCTGGTTTAACATTTGCTGTTCCTCCTAGGATTGTGGCCTTTTGATGTTTAATATTATCAGCTGCTGAGGAGATGAAGGATGCTTTGGATGATGTCTGATATTTCAGTTCTCCAGTATGTTGGAGCAACTCAGAGTATTCACTGGCAGTGTCCAAATTCTTATTATCATAAACTGCGCTGTTTGCTGTGTCTTTTTTGCTCAGAGCTGATGCAGCTCCTTGATCGACTCTGTTGAGCAGATCCTCTGCCTTTCCAGCAAGATCAGCAAGCCAAGACATGATGGATGTTTGTTGATAAACTCTCTAAAATTAAAATTTCAGGACCATATGCTGCAAAAAACATAGGATAATTACAAATCAGACTGGTTACTGATAAAGCAAGATATGTGGGCTACCTAAGCAACTGCTGTGTTAATCTATTAGTGCTGTAATTATCTTAATATTTTCCTCTTACTCCCTTGGTATTCACAGTTTTGGTAATCTCATGGAAATAAACCAAACCAGTTCCTGAGGAAAACAGACAAAACCAAGACTCAGCTATCAGGCCATCATACCTGTTTTTGGCATCAGCACCTGCCACAGAGCACCCACCTACTAGCCCATCTGCAACAACAACAAAGTCTACTTGCAACTGACAAAACCAAACTTGGTTGGAGGAGGAAAAAAGGCCAGATGCTTATTACAGGTACAGATACCGACGAAACCTTCAGCGTTTGGCCTGCAGATTCATAATCTGGGGCAGTCGGAGGAACTTCTCCCCAGTAAACTATGCAGCCTGTTGTCCCTTCTGTGACACCAACACGGGGGACAGCTCCCTGCCTTGACTTGCACCACGGGCCTACAGACAACACAGAGAGCGTGTGCCTCTACCCCAGCTCCCTGGAAGGGCTCCTTCACCCCAGAGCACGTTTGTGGAGGGTCCTTTGGCCAAGCACACCCGCAGCGGGAAGAGGGAAGCGCCGAAGCAAGCGAGACCGAGCGGGAGGGCGATGTTCAGGGTGGCTGCAGACCCCTCTCCACCCGCCCTTAACACAGCTACCCGGACCGGCCAGACCCCCCACCCGGCGGCCCTCAGAAGCGGCGGAGGCCTCAGCACAGCCCGGCCTCACCTCCTCCC